AAAAAAAAAAAAAACCCTCCATCTACATCGTTCCCAAATTCTCTCTGAAATTCCGAAGGCAAAAAAATCGAAAGCTCGAAATCAAGTATTGAGAAGCAAAAGATACTCGAATATGCACTTGTATCAACCATTATTCGATGTACTAGTATCCCACAAATTGGCGTCGTGCTCACAAGTGGATGAGAATGTGGGTGAGCGATATAGCTTGCATCATCAACGTTAAAAGTAATTGGGCAATTATTTCGAGCATTGATTTTATCTCGGAGGTCGATAGTTAAGACAGTCTTGCCCGAGTTGTACGCTTGCCGAGCATATGCCTTTATTTGCCGACGTGATTCGTGTGTTTTTCCACTACTATTGTTGACTCGCGGAATATTATAAAAACCAGGAGGATTAGAATAACCACTTCGTTTCAATGTTTCAGCTTTTGCCGAAGATGAAGCTTCATTCTCCTCCGAGTTGAACATAAGAACTTCTTTGTCACCAGGTCTAATGCGCTTTGGGTTAATCGGACGATCATTGTCTTCATCATCGTCTGGTTCTGGTAATCTACCTTTTCGTTTATAATCGACATTCTTTGCAAATCGTTGGACTTGTGGATGTCCGATCAATCTAACAAGGCAGAAAGTAAATCCAGACATTCGTCAGTATCATGTCCCGCCGACTTATGATATGAACAATATTTTGTTTTGTCGAGTTTATCTTCCGGAGTCCTCACAAGTTGGGGATCGGGAAGAATTCCTTTTCCTTTCAATTCTTCAAATATAGTAGCGGCTCCAGCTGAGAATACTGTTTGATAACTTGACTTGACTTCGTTGAGATACTTGGCTCTGGCTTCTTTCACCTTGGGATGTTTAGAATTCTCGAACCGAGATTTATTTTGCTTGAAAGATTTCTTTTTCTTCTTTTTCGGTTCCTGTTCAAGCTCTGACTTATTGGAAGAGAAGTCGAGATTAGGAACCGACATTAATTCCTCAGCAATGATGTGTTGCTGAGCCCGAGCCTGAGCTAAAAGTTCCTGAAAAGAACTCGGTTTATTTTGATAAATACTCCAGCGAAACAGAGAATTCGGCTTTAGTCCTACTATCGCCGTGATCAACAATGTTTCTGGATGGCACTGCTCCAAATTTTGTACTCGTTCATTAAACCGAGTGATGTAATCTTTAACACTTTTATTATCCTTTTACACAATATTGGCAATTGATTCCTTTGGGATCAAAGATACTCGGGCCCCAATAAAATAAGTTCAGAAAGCTGTTCTTAACTGTTGCCATTTTGAAATTGAGCATCGAGGTAAAGAGTGATACCACTTTTGAGACCGAGGTCCCAGAGTTAATGAGAACATCCGACATCTTAACGCGTCGGTTGCTCCGTGAAGGTCCATCCACGAGGTGTATTGACCGAGATGTGCATCTGGATCTGAAGTGCCATCATAAAGACCGATCTGAGGAACCTTAACCTCTCCAGATAATGGTTCCATTGTAAGGTGAGGAGCCAATGGAGTTTCAGCCTCCTTTGAGATTCTCCAGAGCCCCTTTGCCGAGTTTCCAACTCGGCAATTCTTTTCCGTAATACTTCCAATTCATCTGACTCGCGTCGCAAACGATTTCTTTCAATAGTATGATGCAGTTCATCCGTCTCGCGTCTAAATTGATTCCTTTCAATAGTATGACGCAAGTCGGAATGTCTGACAGGTTGCGAAGTCGCTGATGACGAAGGCACCGGTTGTTGTCGACGATGTCCTGAATGACTTTCAGCAGTAATTTCAGGCTGAATTTCTTCTGGTTGATTATTATTAACAGGAACTTCGTCGTGACCTTGAGCAGCTATATTTGGTTGCGACGCAGGAGTCCACAGTTGTGATGTTGCATGAGAAGCAGCAGTATTATGGTTTTGTTGTTGAACAGGCGGTGTCTGCTGTCTTATTTGAACATTTGGGACAGGAGTTTGACTAGGAACTGTTATAGTTGGTCCTGCTCTTGTTTGTGCCATAAAGTTAGACAAATTCCTACGAAACTCTGGGTCTTGAAACAACACAGAGTAATCTATTGTCATAGAAGGTGCAGTCGTATCTTCAGTAGTTTGGAAGGGATTACGACTGGTTCCAGTGTCTGGATTTCTTTCTTGACGCCCTGAACTTGTCATATTGACTGCTATCCAAATCGTTTGACAGAGATGTATTTTCGTATATGGTATGTCAAAGATTAGTCTCAAATTGAACGAAACGAAGCAAGGTGTATTTAACGGGGAATTAACGTAAATGTATGTATTATTGATCGTTTCATGAGAGTACATGAAGTCGGTTTTTTGTTCATAACTGAGATATTTATAGTCTGTGTACAATGTGCGAAAAAATGATCCCCATACAATCATAAATTCTGCTATTTATAGTACGGTGATTTTGTCTTTTTGTTTGAGGTAGATCAGGTTGCATTTAATGTTGAGCAGTTTCAATAAAGCGGCGTGTAATGGAATGAGAGAACATCAATGATTATTCTTTGACTTGATGGTCCAATTAAAAGCATACAGCGTCTTCTGCTTTGAAATTCGATCTTCTCGGACTTCGGTTTAATGGATAAGCTTTAATGTAAATGTCTGCGAGGTTGGTTCCCTTGTGAAGTCGGTTTCTGAAGCTCGAAGATTTGTCGGTCATTTCCTTAGTTGTCCGAAGTCGGTCATCGTTCAGTTGTACCGAGTTGAACTAGGTTGGCCGCTAAAAAATAGTTCAAAAGAACTATTAATGGGATAAAATATCCAATCCCTAATTAATCGTAGGAAATCAAGTTGGTCATCAACAACTCTTCATGATTCACGGCGAAACACACATACAATTCTGCCCTAAATATCATATAATGCGTCGTTAACGGAACACCGTACCTTGTACTCGAGGCAAGAATGAAATCTCCTGCCCGGGTTGTCGGTCGTCCATGATGTGCGAATGACATCCATTTTTCTGCACCGACATTCCAAGAAACTGGTAGAATGCGATGACTCAGACATGTTGAAGGTGAACGAAATCGACAATTTTGAAGAACGAAATCAACAATTTTCAAAATTAGGGTTCTTGAAGATTTGGGAATCTTGTAATTTGGGAAATTAGGGTTGAAGAAAGATGGAAATGATTCAAAAACAGTAGGCCCGATTCATTTTATCAACGTCTCTTATCCACGTGTATAGACACGTGAAATTTTTTTTTTCTTTTCATTTCTGCCGCCACGTGTAGCTGAGGTCACCAGCGTGTGAAATCCGGCTTCACGTAGGCCGAAAGAGCCGTTAATTTCCATCACGTGCGTGTTTTCGGGCAATTAACGGATTTCCGGCAAGTCGGGGACGAATTTCCAACCTTTTTTTAAAGTTAGAGAACGAAATTCAAATTGACTATTCGAAGACTAAATTGTTCAGATGAATAAACTTACAAGACAAAAAATGCACTTTTCTCATTAACATTAAATAAAAACAGTATAACACATGTCATTGAACTAATTTGATGAAATAAATATATAAATCCAAGATAAGGTAGATTAAGTAAAACAACGATGATGCGCATTACGACACATGTCACCGCATACACGCCTGAGTTGCTTACTCACATCATTCTCTCCCCCACACGTGTCCCCATTTCAACCTCCCAACCCAAACCTCCTCCCCTATAAAAAATGAAAAACTCGACGCAATCAGGAAAATACCCATCAGCGAGTAAATCAAATCAAAAGAAGATAATGGCCTCGGAGCAAGCGAGACGAGATGATGCGAGCAAGATAGAGGTGGAGAAAGACAAAGTCCCGAAGATGACGACACATTTCGAGTCTCTCGCCCAAACAGAGGGCCGACAGCAGGGCCTCTCCTTGGAAGAGATTTCCAAATTGAGAGGGACAGCTCAGCAAAGCTCAATCGAAGCCATCCGAGCTGCTGAGAACCGCTATGAAAAGGCCAATCAACAAATGGGGACAGAGGGCAAAGGGCTGAAGGACCAGGCGCTGGAGAAGGTGGCTGAGGCCACAAAGGTGGTTTCCAGTGTGGCAGGGTACACCAAGGATAAGGTGGTCGGAGTTGGGCAGACTGTGGCTGGGTATACTGGGGAGAAGCTGGCCGCAGTTAAGGATGCTGTGGTGGCCACTAAGGAGAAGGATGAGGTTGAGAGGGGTTTGGAAGCCAAGAAATCATCGCAGCAGGTTAAA